AACAATATTTACCCTATACAGGTCATGTTTAAGTTAACAACATTTATGTCTTAGTTTAGTAGGTAAAATATTCAAATCTCGTTTTCCAAAATCTGAAGTACATTGATTGGATGGGTCGTGCAACTGTCGTACTGGAGGTCTAACGAGTTCCAACTGCGAATAGTGGAAAATACATAACAGAGATTTGTTAGTGAAGCCCAATAAGGACATTTTATTATTAGTATTATTCCTAAGAGTGAACAAGTTGTGTTTTTCAAACAGGGGATCGTTTAAATAATTCGGTCTTACCGTTTTCATCACGCTATATAGAAGTTGGAGTTGTGCACGCTTTCGTTGTTTTTAAAGATTTACTTGACATGCTTCAAACTGTAATACTTCAATACAGGCATATAAAGGAAGGCCTGTTATGACACGAGCATCTGTCCATAATTCGCAAGCATATACTGAAACTGGTAAGATAAATTATTTAAAGACTATTGTGATACAGCACGTATTTCAACTTTCGTGACACGTGTTTTTTCTCTTAACAGTACAAATGTACCTCCTGGACAGTAAAAGAGTAAACAAACTACGAAATTTTGCTGAATAATGTAACAAATAATAAGCTCTAGGGCCAAAATGTATTTCCTTTATTTCACCGCTAGTACAGACAAATAACACCGTTATTTGTCTTAAAGCAGCTAAATGACCACCTTCAAAATATGATTTATACACATATTTCTCAAATTCTCAAATCAGGCACTCGTTATTTCAAGTGACATCCCCCCAAATTTCAAGTGGCTTCCCCCCGAAGTATTAAGTACCCATTAAATATAAAAACAAACGCTATGAGCTTTAAACATGAAAATCCTTATTGAATACATAGTATATGAGTATAAACACTGTTTTTACGATTATTTCGTGGTTTAGTACAAAGGCACATGTTTTCCCTTTTTAAAACATTGTGGGTTGTTAAACGGCTTTTAATGGATTTTATTAAAGTATTACGAAATATTTGAATGATAACATTAAGAATTAAGTAACTTCTATTTCACTAATTATATTTCCAACCCACGAACACAGAACTTTACTGAATAATATCAATAAATAATAAAGCTATTTGTCCAACATGAATTTCCTTTTTCCCCCGCTAGAACATGAATAAAGATACAATCAACATAAGACGTTATGTGTCTAATTGATTAGCTCAAAGCAGATAGGTGACAAGGTACACTTTATGATTTACACACATATTACTCAATTAACTGGCAAATTATTCACTAAATGCAGTATATATTGACAAAATAAAGTACAAGAATCTTATCAAGCACTCGTTATTTTAAGTGACATTCCCCCAAAGAATAAAATACACATTAAAAATATACAAAAGCTATCAGCTTTAAACATTAATCCTAATTGAATATCTTCTTTTTTTCTGTATTTAGAAAATTGTGAGTTATTGTACGGTTCCTAATGGATTTAAAAGAATAATATTAAGTTTAAACCTTATTTCTTACCGAAATATTTAAATGATCACATTCAGAAATATTTTGTCTCAGCAATATATTTTCAACCCACAAACCTACAGTTTTACTGAAACGTTGGCTCTGTATAGCATTGTTTGAGAAATTATCTAAGGGGAACGAAGCTTTATAGATATAATTATGTCAGAAAAGAAGAATATCTTAGTTTGGTGTTCGGGTGGATAGAGCATTTACCTTTCACCAAGGCGGCCGGGGTACGATTCTTCGATCGGACGTGAAATGAAATGTGGTCACATGCCCGACCACATGCGTTTTCTCCGGGTATTCCAGTTTCCTCCCACAATAAGACCCGAAGCGCGCTAACATCCGGGCCAACAAGAATGGTTAATATAAATTGAAATAACTTTCATTATTGTTGGAAAATGATTACAGTTTATATATATATTAGTTTGCAACATCGAATGACATATTTCCCGATTCAGGAAAAAGTTATTTTTTATCTTAAATTATGCCCCATAAAGAGCGATACATAATTGTCTTAAAATTAGCGCATTGACTAATCCTAATAAGTCCATTTGTCCCGGAATGGAAGGTGCCTTCTGCGCCATAGATGACACCCTTGTACGTTCGTTGTTGTGAAATGACTATATTATATTCATAAGATACGTCATTGTTAGAAACACTAATCTTTCCAGCATCCTTGGTGTCGTTTTCTTTACTTTTGAGGGCTGAGATTAATCTTCACTGTGTGCAATTTGCTTCATTTCAGTTCCTTGCCTTCAAAACTGAAAATACTCTCTAACCTATGTTGACTGATAATAGCTATTTCCTGTTATCGTGTTGTCGTATTGTCGTGTAGTCATGGTTAAAAATCGTGAATAAATATCGAGTTGTCGTGTTGTGACTGTTAAAAAGCGACAACTAGACAAAGCTACAACACGACAAGTCTAGACGACAACCCGACATTTTGAACATGCTAGTTAGAGCGTTCCAGAATGTCGTGTCATTGCAGTAAAATAATCGTTGTTTGACCTCATTTGTTTATCCTATATATATATATATATATATATATATATATACTACATAAGAATCGAAATCAATGCTTGTTTTAACTAAGCATTAATTATATGAAGATAGGGAAAAATTTAAAAATTTAAAATGGCCTAATGAGCACATTCATTGACTCCCCTAGACACTTAGATACCAGGGTATAACGTAAACAATTCAAAACTTTATTACTCAACAGTCCGTACTGCCTAGTGAAGTCCTCTTACTGGTACACTACTTTTAACTCCAGAGATATATACAATACCAGTATACGTGAAAACCCTCTGTGGTTCTGAAGGGAAATTAAAATTGACAGAAAATTTACTTTCAAAAATTTCATGGTTTAAAAAAGGAATGCAATTTGTATACAACATTATTAAACCTGATGGATCACTGTACGAGTTTGAAGAATTTCAATAAAACTATAACATTAATACCAATTTTTTGATATACCAAGGCCTAACTAATGCTGTGCATCATTTTATAAGAGAAAAAATTCTCAGGGTTTAACTTCAGAAAAAGCAGCTATTTTTCCAAATAAACCTATCAATCTTGGGTTAATACTTAGAAATAGTAAAGGAGCACAAGAAATAATGTTAAACCTACTGCTCAAAGAAAATGGAACTTATATGATAATAAAGCTGATGAAACATGGAATAAAATATATGAATGTCCTTTTAAAACCACCACTAACTCCAAACTACTGTGGCTACAGTACAGAATAAACCACAGATTCCTAACTAAAAACGCATTTTTATTGAAAATTGTCAAATCACACAATAACCTTTGCACTCTCTGTAAATATCACCCTGAAATAATAGTGCATATGCTATAGGATTGCGAAAACGTGGATAGGTTAAATGACGAGCTGAAAACAAATATTATAACTAAAAACCTTACACTAAGATTTGATAAACAAGAATTCATTTTGGTAAACATACAGATAAATATGCAAAGTGATATATAGAAAACATCATATTACTAATTATAAAACAATACATATTTAAAACTAAATTCCTAAAAAAAGACTAGTCTCAAAAACCATTTAAAATTTTAATTAAAAGCGCAAAAGATAATTGTGTCTAAACAGAATAAATCTACATTAAATTACATGTCAATTTAAAGCTAAATTTTCCTCCGTATCTGAAGATGATGAAAGCTATCCAGTATGTTCAATAAATGCTTTATGCACAAATCATTTTATGTCTTTGAAGTTTTTTAAATGCTATGATATTTACAGAGCTAGAGCCATCAACACAAGCGTTGGACATTGATTTAAATCAATATGAAATGTCCTAGCCTAAGATTTAATGTGTTATACCAGTTTGATATCACCATATTTTGGCACTAGAAGTAAAATATGATCTTATGGAAACATGATAAAGTGTCAACCCTCCCACCCGATCTCGGCGAATATACATAACAATGAGATTTGAGCTGTACACACACGTTTCTCTGTATTAAATGACAATAATACTGGATACAGTGAACGGTGTAATACGTTAGTATTGGTGTAACCTAGAACAATTTAAGGGGTTAACACACCTACAGTCAAGCTGCGTTCGTTCCGCTTGCACAGTTCTGAGACACCACTTTATATAAATTATTCTCTAAATATCCGTTTTACAACCAAATTATTTATCTTTCACCTATAAAAGTAAATGTGTTGTTTTACTTTGAATCCGCTTAAAACACAGATACACACACAGTAACACAGATTTTATTCTGACTATATATCAACTTAACTTGAACACATTAACTTCATAGTTTCATTTACGTCACATTACATTTCAAAAATCAGATAAGGATTTTTAAAAGTCACGATATGTGAAAAGTGCGAAGCCTACAAACTTCGGTTTTCCACACTTTTTATTTTTGTGTTCGTTTTTTTTTATAACTTGTTCAACAGGTCATATCATGTTTTTATTGATTGCTTAAATAACACAGAAACAGAAAACTGAATGAAACTATGGCCGAATATGAACAAAGGAAATATTGACATTAAGACCCTTGACAACATGCGAGGATTATAAGACCGGTGTTTACTGGAAGGGTAAGCGTTCTCTGCCACCTGGGCAACATAATACATGTAAACCTAGGACGAATCCACGGAATGGTATGTCCTCTTGCAGAGAACCGGGAAAATATAATATTTTACGCTAAGACCACGATAGCAAACATAAAACTTTGCCTGTCAACCGGACTCTCTTGAAATCAGGAGTTGTAACCTTGCCCGTCAGCGGTCGTTATCTATCACAAAATCGTGATATAAGAGCAAACTTGAATACCCAATCAACTACGATATGTAAACATTGTATTTGGGGAAGCAGGTATCTTGCTATATTGAAACGGTAAAATCTCGGTCGGAAAATCAAAATCTTTCGCTTATCGTACTTCTAATAAAGGAGAATGTATAATATTCTCCAAGGCAATAAGTTGGTCAATACATTTATATAAATTTTATGTCCTTTTTCAACATTGGTTTTACAGCCCAAGCTTTGAGAGAAGGTCTCACACAGCGTTTAGCAAAACAATGGAAGAACATGGGAGCACCTATTAAACTCTCCGAAAAACGAAAACAGGTATGTGTGTTCTCCTTTTAATCAACTAACTACCACGCGGTCAATAATACTGTAATGAAGGCACATGTGGGGAAATGGGAGATAAGTACCACGCGGTCAGTAACACTGTAATGAGGGCAAAGTAAGAGAAAGGGGAGATAAGTACCACGCGGTCAGTAACACTGTAATGAGGGCAAAGTAAGAGAAAGGGGAGATAACTACCACGCGGTAAATAATATTGAAATGAAGGCACAAGTGAGAAAAAGGGGAGATAATTACCACGCATTCAATAATACTGTAATGAAGGCACATGTGGGGAAATGGGAGATAAGTACCACGCGGTCAGTAACACTGTAATGAAGGCAAAGTAAGAGAAAGGGGAGATAACTACCACGCGGTCAATAATACTGTAATGAAGGCACATGTGGGGAAAGGGGAGATAACCAGCACGCGGTCAATAATACTGTAATGAAGGCAGATGAGTGGAAATGGGAAATAACTACCACGCGGTCAATAATATTGAAATGAAGGCACAAGTGAGAAAAAGGGGAGATAATTACCACGCATTCAATAATACTTTAATGAAGGCACATGTGGGGAAAGGGGAGATAACCACCACGCGGTCAATAATACTGTAATGAAGGCAGATGAGTGGAAATGGGAAATAACTACCACGCGGTCAATAATATTGAAATGAAGGCACAAGTGAGAAAAAGGGGAGATAATTACCACGCATTCAATAATACTTAAATGAAGGCACATGTGGGTAAAGGGGAGATAACTACCACGCGGTCAATAATATTGTAATGAAGGCACATGAGGGGAAAGGGGAGATAACCACCACGCGGTCAATAATACTGTAATGAAGGCACATGAGGGGAAAGGGGAGATAACCACCACGCGGTCAATAATATTGTAATGAAGGCACATGAGGGGAAGTGGGAAATAACTACCACGCGGTCAATAATATTGTAATGAAGGCACATGAGGGGAAAGGGGAGATAACTATCACGCGGTCAATAATACTGTAATGAAGGCACATGAGGGGAAAGGGGAGATAACCACCACGCGGTCAATAATACTGTAATGAAGGCAGATGAGTGGAAATGGGAAATAACTACCACGCGGTTAATTGTAATGTTTTACTCTTTTGTAACATGTTTCACATCTATTGCTATATAATTTTCCAGGGCCTCCTTACTAACATGAGTGAGACCATATTTTATATGTTGAGTACCGCAGAGCTGTAATCCTCCCCGATCCTGTCTCGTTACGGAATGCTTACGGGCATCGAAAGCATTTAATAAAGAAGAGATATTCAGACGGTCGTTTCCCAAACAAGCAGCACATAAAAATATGTACTCCCCTAAAAGTACAGTGGAATGGCATGACTGGAATATTCCATTTTTCATAGCTGCTGAATACTGAATCCGTTTGAAATTGTCACTTTCTCATTATTTTCTCTAAAGCAGAGACTTCGTTTTGAAGTATCAATCTTTATGAACAAATTAATACGAAACATGCTCTATAAAGCGGCTTTCAAGAACGGCATTTTGTCAATCACCCAGTGTGATCGAATCAAAAACATAAAGAAATCGACTATTCTCAAATTAAAAAAATAAACTCTCCATTATGAATTAACACATGACCCATTGATAATTAGCTAATTATTATTGCAGTTGTTGTATTGTGTTAAGATTTGCTTTTTAATTATACTATATAACTCAAAATGGTCACTGTAATAAAACAATGGCAATTAATTATTGTATATTTTCGTCATTTTCGAAACAATACTTTTAATTTAAAACTGATTTCGCTATGAGGACAGAACTGAACTGGTCCCAGTGCATCACACATGAAGTAAACAACAATAAACTTACCATATTAAATGATTATTCCCTTTTCTTCCCATATACCAGGTGTGTGTTTTTTTATTTAATATTTATGCTTTTTGCTATAAATTTGTATTTGTGTATTTCTATTTGTAATAAAATAAAATCATTTTTTAAACAATATAATTATCAATATTAACGATTGGAATGACCGTTCTTTTTTTAACTTTGTAGAAAATGACAATTGAAGAATACAACAAACTAGTTAGAGAGGTAATTGAAGACTCTAACGGATCGCATGTGGTAAGTGTATCGTTTGTGACTGTGATCTGTGCTTTTGTAATCCTTTCTATTACGAAAGTAAATTTTGTTTGAAAAGACAAGAGTTTGACAGGTATTCAACCTGGCACGGACTTTATCGTGTTTTGGACACATAGTCATATCAAGGCTATATGACTTAACTCGGAGACACGGTAGTCTAGTGGTAGGACGCCGGGCTCGTGACCGAAGGGTTTTGAGACACGGTAGTCCAGTGGTAGCACGCGGGGCTCGTGTCCGAAGGGTTGCGAGTTCGAGTCACGGCACGGCACTGTGTTGTATCCTTGAACAAGATACTTTACTCCGCTTGTTCCAGTCTACTCAGCTGTAAATGAGTACGTGGTTGGTCAGTGCTCGAATTGTAGAATCCTAGCTGTTAGCGCCATAATTGCAGCACCGGCTGTATGATCCCCAGGGAGTTAAGAAAGATATTGGCTGGTTGCAAAGGCCCTATAACCGCGGATAATAATTTGAGAATCGCCTTGACACGACCTACGTATTAGGTTGTGATAAAGCGGTATATGAGAACCTCGAATTAATATTATTACTATTATTATTAAAATTACAACAAATCGTAAACCTGTGATATTTTTTTTATAATTACTTAAGCTAAAGGATGCATATCTCCCGTGTCACCTACTGACCCACTGACGCTTGATGTGACTATACCCCGGTCGATTGCTGTAATGCTTAAATCTTCTACTCTAAAAGCCGCAGAAACTAGAAACATTTTAAATCAGAATTCGTGTGCATCCATAACTGTTCTTTACTTTTGCCGTGTATATTTGTTTTCATGAAAAAAGATCGACATTGGAGAGTTCAAACCGGCCGAGAAGCTGTCTTCAGACCGACATTACTTCGTGGGAATGAATGGGGAAATCAATAAACTGGTAACTCCTTATTAATATCTACCGAAAGTTGTGGGTCTTATACATTTTACATGTGATTGGTGCTAAAGTTATTTCTTTTACATATAATTTGAACTGGAATAATTGAGTTAAAAATAATACATATGTGATATGTTATAAAATTAATGATATATTTGTCAACTTACAAACTTTTCATTTAATTTGTTTTTAAGCTTATATCATGTGTTGTCTTACATACGACAGATGTAGTTTGTTGAATAGGTTTTATGTCGCCCTTTTACGATAATATTATTCAGGTAAAAGGCATTACACGTATAACACATGCCATTGTACATCAATACATATTATCACTGATGCTACGTATAAGCTACTAATGCCATAGAACTTGTAGTCAGTCAGAGTTTAAAAAAACCTGGATTGGATTCGATTAATTTAGGCCCTTATCTGGGATAACCCATAAAGCCACATTGTAGCTTAATTACAATGCGGTCCTTTAGATTTTAATAAATCAATTAAATTCACAAAATAGTAACACAATTGTAAGATAGATATTGGTAATGCAATAAAATAATGTACCCCATTCATATTAAGTTTAGGTTTCGATTTACCTTCAACGCTTTACCCGTAACTTCTGTAACAGTGTTGGTGTGTTGCATTACACCTTAAACCTACAGCTTGTTTGTTTGGTTTATCTCCTCTAAAAGTCATTCAAAATGCAGCAATACTTTCATTCTTTCGGTAGTTTGTTAATGTGACACGAAATATTAAATATAGTACAAATTAATGGCGGCAATTCATATTTGACACCGTCAATAGGAAACACATTTGAAAAATATAGAAGAAAGGTACTTCGTAACATACATAATAATGGACATTTGAGTTATATGATATTCCACAAGAAATGAAGCAGAAGAAATCAGAAACAAAAGAGATGTGTATGTAGTTCCGTCTTCAAAAACATTAGAGAATGACAACAACAGTATCTTATTATTATTTATTTATTTCACCGCGGTTTTGATGCCTTTATTTTAGTGTATTAACGTTTCCTATTAAAGGGTTGTCACTATTGTTTATGTAAAGGAAAGCTGTACTGTCTAAAGAACAGTTTGATTATAATAATTGATATTGCATTTACTTTATTACAGCCGAACTTTCGACACCAAAAACAAAAGAAACTCAAAAAGCCTGACAAGAACTTACTCCAGAAACAGGTATAGTACTCAATGCATTTTTATTATAGCATAAGTATGTCATTTGTTATCTATTTCTTTTTTTCATTGTGAGTGAGATAAGGAATTGTCAAAACTATATGAACTTTGTATTATTTTATATAAACTGTATGGTTTATAGTCATGGCAGTATGTAAAACAGGTTAAAAAGAATGCAAGAAATATCTTTGAAATGTGATATGGAGAAGAGAAAAATGTTTTAGCTTCTAAAGTGTGTAAACGAGAGAGGGGAGACAACTCCAGTCTTAAAAGAACGCTTGCACAATATTTCATTAATCTAGGAAAACAAAATACAAAGCAAAACTTTTCTGTTGTCGACTTTGACGTCTCGAGACTTTTTGGGTGATATACATGTCTAAACAAGAACAACTTTGGTGCATGTTCTGCAGTAAATATGTATTCTTAATTAATGAACAATTCAAAAGTCACAAGAAAACAGACTTTTTTTACAAAAAAATGCAAATATTTAACGATTTTGGACAAAACAACGTCTCTCTGTTCTGTTTATACGTTTTCGGTATATATCTGTTCAGAAAATCTAAATGAGCGTAAATACATTAAAATATATTTGCAAATTAAATGTACGTTAAAAATAGATTATTATGTTATTTATGTTTTCCTTGTGAACAGTGAGTATATTAAAAGAACTACAAGAAAAAATAAACTTTGTTTGATATTCATATTTTGATTGCCAAAGATGAATTGCCTTGTTCTGTTTTTCCTTCTAGATGACGTCACACAGACGGAAGCGTGCTTCTGAAAAATCAAAGTACCTTAGTTACGTGTCCTGGCCAAACAATCGTGTTCCCTTTATTACGACGAATATGGAGACAGGTACGCTCTTTCAAATATATATATCCATTAGTGTTCCTCGGGTTGGTGTAGATAAAGAGCATTGGTTTCCCTTAACGGATCCAATTTTTGTACCCAAGGACAATTGCTGTTAACTTCATTAATCCAATGAATCCATGGAACTCTGTCTCATGACGTCACTAGTGATAGATTATGTTTCCCATCCCAGAATATTTTCAAAAATTCTTTTTTTCAATAATCAAGATCTGACTCATGTAATATCACAGTACACGTACCTAGGTTTGTTTTAGGTCACACGGGACAATTTCGCTGTTGAAAAATGGCATTCGACCTTTGTCTGTTGTCTTGCATTGTCAGTCTCCTCCGCCTGATAAAGGCTTACATTTTTCACTGATGAACTACTGAACCAATTTAGATAATGTTTGCAATTTTGAATTATGTGAATCTAACCCCAAAGGAATGAGGGATGAGTCCGTATGGAGTCATTTCAGCAATCTCCTTTCAAAGATCTGAACATGCTTGATAGTTTGATAGTATGTACATGAACACGCTCATTCACCAGTAAGACCAGAGCAGCGCGGGCAAATAGGGTGAAATTGATAAATTTCAGCATTATTTTTCTGATTTATGCTAACATCAAATGTTCTTGCACTGCATTAGTCCCCGTGGATAATGTAAACGATACTCAAAGCTGACAGTGCAAGTTAAAATGATTTCAATTGAGATTAAAAGAGAGGTTGTTGGTTTTTTTTAAATTCTGGTTTTGAGATCTTTCCCAGATCATCCTTGCTAAGGAAGTGCTGACCTTATAGTATGTCTTTGCTTGGTAACGAGTATGGGTCTCGCTGGCTATACAAAGAGCTTTACCTGTCAAACCAGTTATCATTCTTCACCTGACCTTATTGCGACTCAACGCATCGCCCACCCATATCGGCAACCGATATCAAAAATCAAACGTAATCACCTCATTTTGGAACACTGCCAAGCTGGTTGTTACTTATGGCACATTCTCGAAAATTGTTTATCGGAATTAGAAGGCATATTACTGAACATACTTCTATAAATCCCGTATATAACATCGGTCTTTCACGTGCATAAAACCGCACCCACAAACGGAATCTGTATTATAATATCTCAGTCTCGTCATGTAGACGCTTTACTATCAAAACACATGCAAATTGCGACACTCCCAGGTGTGTAGTAAAAAATGTGAAATTTCATAATTGAAACCATTCACATAGAAATATTTAGTTTTTGTCTTGTTTTCTCACAGAATGTTATTACTAGTTGAACCGCTTAAAGGTGGGTATTAACTTAAGTCGTATATTTGGGGGTTTTCGGGGCTGTTTATTCTATTTGATCGGGAGGTGAGGAGTTGGCGTAGGAATTGTGTATTATATATTTATTGATCGTATTTTACAATCATTTCGACTTTTCTTACATAAATGATATATTTGATGTGTTCCATTTCATTTGTATTCAACTGATCTGATAAATAATGTTGGTTCAAAATCGTGAAAGTGTGCTATCTATATAGTATAGTAGTATTACCTTGCGCACACGTTGAACAAATCATAACCGGTTTGACTGGTAATGTGCTGTATATACCAAGCGAGACCCATACACGTTACCAAGTAAATGTTCTTTTCCGTACGCTTGCTTACTTGTGAAAGAGTATTGGTTGGCATTAGTTTTATATTATCTACCAATCCTATTCCATTCCATTTTAAGATGACGATTTCCTTACCTGGATACAAGAAGGTGTTGATATGTTTCATGAGGAAACGTGTTTACAGTGGGCTGCCAGATCCGACGAAAAGGAATATGTAGACTTTAGGGGTGGCGACCAGGATGGTTTGTAAGCAAATAATTAAAGTTTTAATTACCTTGACAACCACGACAAATATTACAAGTCTGTGAATGTCCCAACAGTCTTACACGCTTGTGTGTTACAGAATAAGTATTGTTACAATGCTCATTTCGCAATAATACTTTATTCAAAGTTGATGATATATATCCAGAATGCGTAAATGATGTTGATAACGTACCGGCATGACCGGCACGGTAATGGTTTGTTTAAATCTATTCCGAAACCCAATAAACAATTTTCTTGCTTGCCCTGGTGGTGGAATAACGTACTGAAAATCCAAACACCTTTGTGTTATCTGCAGTTTAATCATAAGTTTGGTATGACACGCTTTAAGAGAACGCCTTTTGTTTACGTTGTCTATTGCACTTTCTTTTTAATAGCTGTGCAGCATATATTGGCCGATTACATGACGAGCCAAGCCCAGTGTTTTTGGACCAAGTGACCGGCTATTGTAATGCTGTAAGTAAAATTGTGTGTGTATATATGTCAGATAATTAATTTGTGATAGACTTGCCAGCATAACCACCATGTGTATTCAATATTTGCTGTATAAGAAAGTGACTGACTATATGTTGTTGTATCAGGCCGTGGTTTTATCTTTTTGTCATAATAACCCTTAGAACAATTTGTAAGTGTAACTTCAACAATGACATGTGTCAATGAGTTTTCAAACTAAGCTACCAACTGCCATATATTCTTGCATTTAATTAAATTTTTAAAAATCTACGTTGAGGCCGACGTTACTCCGGGTTGACCTTACTTTTTGGTATATGCAGCAGTTTAGTTACCTTCTTTAGAAAGTTTGTTCTGATGTGTTTACGCTTTGATTTAATTTTCTTTGTTAATTACTTCATCTGGCATGCCAAGATTAGATTGATTCCTTTAATAACGACTTGCATTTAATGTGTGCTAAAACATCATCACTCCACAATGAGGAATATGACAGAATAAGAATTTTTCCCTTCCCTTGCGTTTAGATTTTTCTGTCGCATTGTTAATTTTAGAATGATTATTATTAGTTTATTAAATACAAACGTTGATATAATAGTTTCCAGCAAATTTGAGGTTTTCTCTTTGTTTGCTATTGATGACATTGTGTCATTGCATTGGGAACGTGACGTCATAAAATTGTTTTGACATGAGTATTTTCCAGTCTTTACCCTAGGGTAAAATAACAAATTTCTTTCCCTGCCTGAGAATTGAAGATAACTGTCTAATGGGGCGAGGGGCTTAACTGTTTTTCATTAAAAAATTCATTTCTTTTTCTTCAGGATTATGTCGTTTATCATGAGATGATGCACGCAGTTGGTTTAGAGCACGAGCAGTCACGCCCAGATCGGTACTCTGCCCTCCAAATCAACTGGGAATGCATCGTTGAGAATACAATCAACAATTACATAAAGCGACCCCTGGCAACTGACGTGGAATTTGATTGGACATCCATCATGCAATACACCCCAACCGTAAAATGATTGTTTTGTTTTGTAAATTATTACTTCATTGATCTTACTAGTTTATACTCAAGTAAAGACAATCCTTTTATATGATGTATTTAACTATTGTGTTCTTAATCTCAGACAATCCTTGTCTAAGGTGTATCATACTATCATGTTCTTAATTTCAGACAACGCTAGTCTAGGATGTATTCAAATGTGTGTAATCAATCTAGGACAATCCTAGTCTAGAGTGTATCTTACTATTATGTTCTTAATCTCAAACAAAACTAGTCCAGGATTTATCTTACTATTCTGTACTTAATATCAGACAATCCTTGTCTAGGGTGTATCTTATTATTGTGTACTCAATCTGAGACAATCCTATTCTAGAGAATAACTTACATGTACTATTGTGTACTAAATCTCAGTCAATCCTAGTCCAAGGTGTATTTTACTATTGTGTTCTTAATTTCAGACAATCCTGGTCTAAGGTGTATCTTACTATTCTGTACTTAATATCAGACAATCCTTGTCTAGGGTGTATCTTACTATTATTTTCTTAATCTCAAACAAAACTAGTCCAGGATTTATCTTACTATTCTGTACTTAATATCAGACAATCCTTGTCTAGGGTGTATCTTACTCTTATGTTCTTAATCTCAAACAAAACTAGTCCAGGATTTATCTTACTATTCTGTACTTAATCTCAGATAATCCTTGTCCCTATTGTATCTTACTATTCTATACTCAATCTCAGACAATCCTCGTCGGGGATGAATTATACTTTTATGTTCTTAATCTGAGACACGACTAGGGCGTATCTTATAATTGTGTACTATATCTCAGACAATCCTATTTTAGTGTATAACTTACTTGTACTATTGTGTACTCAATTTCAGACAATCCTAGTCGAGGATGTATTTTATTATTATGTTCTTAATCTCAGAAACTCCTAGTCTAGGGTATATCTTATTATTGTGCACTAAATCTCAGACAATCATTGTCTAGTTTGTATCTTACTATTATGTTCTTAATCTCAGACAATCCTTGTCTAGGTTGTATCTTACTAATATGTTCTTAACTCAGACAATCCTTGTCTAGTTTGTATCTTACTATTATGTTCTTAATCTCAGACAATCCTTGTCTAAGTTGTATCTTACTATCATGTTCTTAATTTCAGACAACGGTAGTCTAGGATGTATTCAACTGTGTGTAATCAATCTAGGACAATCCTAGTCTAGGGTGTATTTTACTAATATGTTCTTAATCTCAGACAATCCTAGTCTAGGGTGTACCTTACTATTATGTTCTTAATCTCAGACAAACCTAGTCTAGGGTGTATCTTACTATTGTGTACTCAATCTCAGACAACCCTTGTCTAGGATGTATTAAACTGTTGTGTAATCAAATTAGGACAATCCTAGTCTAGNGGTGTACCTGACTATTGTGTAATCAATATCAGAAAATCCTAGTCTAGGGTGTATCTCTTACTATTGTGTACTCAAGCGCAACAATATTAGTCTAAGGTGTATCTTATTATTTCGTACTCAATCTCAGACAATCCTTGTCTAAGTTGTACCTTACTATTATGTTCTAAATCTCAGACAATCCTTGTCCAGGATGTATTTTACTATTGTGTTCTTAATCTGAGACACTCCTAGTCTAGAGTGAATCTTACTATTATGTTCTTAACCTCAGACACTCCTAGTCTAGGGTGTATCTTACTATTGTGTACTCAATCCCAGACAATCCTAGTCTAGGATGTATTTTACTATTATCTTCTTAATCTCAGACACTCCTAGTCTAGGGTATATTTTATTATTGTGTACTCAATCTCAGACAATCCTTGTCTAGGTTGTATCTT